GGAAACCCTAAGGCTAATAATATTTTCAAGAGACGAAATGAGCGTTAGAAAGACCGCTAGGCAATGCAACAATGATCAAAGTAACAGAAAAGTTGTCAAATGAATAGCTGGGGAACCAATCCATGGCTGATTTATGCATCCCAAGCGTACACTTTTCTCCTGTATCTCCTCTTCTTCCTAGGAAACTTAACCGAAAGTACCCTCAGCCCGTTTACAGCGCCTCAGATGAAGTCTAATTCCAATATAAAACACGCTTTTTTACAATTTTTACTGGTCTACTGAGCTTAAGATGGACTTACCCGAGACTGGCTTGTGCGTGGTAAATCCTCTTCAGGCTCGGCTGCCGAAATTCTTCTCCTGCTAGCACTTCGGGGAATTGGTTCTGGTGTTGATTCACTTTCTGGCTCAGAATCACTGGGATCTTTGTAACTCTTGCGTGCTGAAGTTCGTCGTGCTGGGAGTGAACGTTGATGTGCTGCTGGAGGAGGAGACGGTGTCTTTACTGGTTTTCTTTTCGGGTTTGATCTGTAATAACAGAGAAGCATTAAGGCAGAAATAAACTGTGTTGCAAAAGGAAGAAGTTAACAACAAGGCAATGAAGTTGGCGGAAAAGTCTATGAAGAGGGCAAAAAAAAAAAAATTCTTTCTTTATATGATCAAAAAAAAAATACTAAGAATAGTTACTGAGGTATGAAACTCCGACATCGCTGAAATCTATTAAAAATCCAGGTGCAGCTGCCTAAGGGATAATGATACCCAAAAAAAAAAATGGCGAAAATATACTACTCGAATTGTTTGGCGCTAACAGAGGTAGCAAAACATAAGTTGCACCAACTAAAAAAAAAAAAACAAGGAATATCAACTGGATGAAACCAATACCAAGCTAAAGTGTGTCGAGATATCTATATATAATCCGAGAAGCACTAAAGCAGAAATGAACTGTGTTGCAAAAGGAAGGGGTTGTCAGTAAGGCAATGAAGTTGACGGCTAATTCCCTTCACCATGTCCAGTTACCCGTCAATTTCATGTGATATGCAAATGTCCCGTCTCCTGACTCGAGTTCCCTCCTCTGTGATATATAATGATGTGATTAGAAATGAAACTGGGATTGTTTTTCTGTGCAAAAAATAATTGTGGGACAGCAGCTTGGACTGCTGCCAAATTTTTCAGCGGTTTTTTTCTATTTTTTATAACTAATAAAGGCATTGTTTATTCTTTTTGGGCGAATGCCCCCACCCCCGCAGTCCCACAGCTGTACGCCCTATAGCCGCGCAGGCCTTCGGCTGTCTTTTGCGTGTTATAAAACTGCTTAGAAGGCATAAATATGCTCTGTTTAGAAAACACCAAAATACCATCATCAGCGCATCAAGCGCCCGTTTTCCAATGAGCGGATTTTGACCCTGGATCTAACTGACAGATCCACAACAACAAAAAGTTTATAAAAAATATGCGTCACAACAATCTGAACCTTTTTTATTTTCCTTTCCTCACCACCTCCTTGGATTTTGGACGGCCACCGTCCTACACCTGCTTATTCCTATTGCATGTAGGGTTGGCTGACGGCCACCGTCCTACACCTGCTTATTCCTATTGCATCTAGGGTTGGTGCAGCCCCTGCCGCTCAATACCCTTCGTTGATTGGGCAGCTGCTCCGGCCCCTGCTTACTATTCTCCTCCATTTCCTCACAGGGCCTTTTAGGCCCGTGCTGCCCTTAATTATATAAAATGTGAGCCTAGATCAGAAGCAAAAACGATGAAAGCCTACCTTTTTGGAGGTCTGAGTTCCCGTGCTTTCCCTGCATTATTCTGAGCGCTTCTCACAACATTGGGCGGCTTATCAGGTATTCTCATCAGACGTCCTTCGGGAATTTTGGGCAGCTCCTCCAGCTTCGAGCAGTAGTTGAACAGAGCATTTGGATGCATCACGCAACACCAATCCTTCGGGATGCCAGCGGTCAAAAACGATCTATCGTAATCAAGATGTCGCCATTTCAGGCACATATCTGTAACTTGGGCTGAATGAAGGCTTATTGGAGATGTATTCTAAATTACATATGCATTCATTTTAATATTTATGTGAACGTATATACATATATACTAATAAATGTGCGAGTTTTTTTTTTTTTTTTAAATACTTGTATGTATGTATGTATTTATGTATGTATATATGTGTTTATGTATGTATGTATGTGTTTATGTATGTACGTGTGTATATATGTATGTATGTATATATATATATATATATATATATATACGTTTACATAAATACTAAAATGAAAGTGAAAAAACAAAAAATTACAACCGGACCTTGCACTTG